TTATTAAATTTATATATTTATAATAAAAATATTATTACTATGTCTTTAACCACAATTTCTGCGCCATGCTGCTAAATTTCAAATTTATAAAAATCACTGGCTATTTTTAGTTGAGAATTTTTCTGACACTACAATAAACTTTACAGTTACCGAATAAAAGAATAAAACAGAAAACATTCTTTTAAGCATCACATGCAAGAATGTTGGTTAAAGACTTCGTGTACCATATTAATATTAATATGACAAATTTTTGACCAAATACTGAAAACAATAATTAACAAAAAGACAAATTAGTTCAACAATTAACCAGTGAAAAAAGTCGATTATAAAAATTCAGTTAGTGAAAACCAAAACTTGTGCTAACAATTGGACAATAACAAAATTAAAGCAAGAAAATGAAATGTAAAAGGATCATTGAATTAAATTAGCCTAACATGACAAAAGCCAAATGAAGAGTGAAGAAACAGGAAATTCAAAGAGAAATTAATCAACTAATAGCATGCAAAAATATGAAAGTCAAAAGGAGATAACAATATCTCGGAAATAAAAGAAATATTATTGGCCAACTAGAAAATCAAATCGTAAATAAAAATTTTTGTAGTATAATTTGGAAAGTGATTACGAAAATCAACAAAAGCTAAAAGAGGCGAGCAAGCAATCAATCAATCTGCTGTTTAAAGAATGACATCGTTGACCTGAAAAATCAATGAACTTGAAAAAAGGAAACCAAAAAGTGAAAGACTATATTCAGAAGCTCTTTCATCACATCTCCGCCGGCACTTAAAGCTTATTCGTATCTAGCTCATCTCTCAAATGATGATCCTACATCTCCCCCACCCTAACATGATTCCAGAACGCACCAGGCAAGGTTTAAAAATATTTTTAGTATAGAATGTCATGAGTTGCAAAACACAGCCAAACAATTAGAAAACAGGAGCCCGAAAATAACTAAAAAAGAAAAGGGAAGCCCAAATCTCAGCCAGGCGAACAAATCAACTCGAATAAATCCAGAACAAGCAAGTTAAGGCCAAAATAAAAATGAGATTTTAAGCTTAGAATGAATTTATATCGTTGAAAAAGATGTCGAGTAATTAAAAAATTGAAAATAAATTCTGGTCCTTTGAATCTTTTTAATAATAATGATGATAGTAATAGTAATAATAAGCATATTTGGTCTTCCGCTAAAACCCAAATTCGCTAAATCAAGGTCCGCTAAATCGAGTCTAGTTTCATGTAAATTGATTGGTTGGATTCACGAAAATGTTAATATATATTAATCTAAAAAAAAAAATAAAAATCTAAAAAATCTAAAAAAAAAAAAAAAAAAAAAGAAATAATTCAATTAGGAAATATCAGATCAAAATGTGTAAACATATAT